CCCCGGGCATCCCTTGCCTCAGGCTGTGGGGGCCCGCCTTGGTGACGTCGGGTTGGGGGCCGGGATTCCCCAACCTTTAGAAGCTGCCGCCGTTGTGTCTGCTTGGTCTTGCCACCCATTGCAACAAGTGCAAACTGTGCTGCACGGTAGTAGGGGCATCACGTTTATGGACCGTGGGGTGCGCGGCCCACGTGTCAAATTCAATCGCTTCATTCTTATTGGTCCACGCATGAATTTGATGTTGGTATGTACTGTGGAACGGCCTCCAGAACGGGTTCTAGGATGGCCTAGGATGGCCTTCGGAATGGCTTGGAATGGACTCTGGACCGGTCTGGAACGGACTCCTAGGTGGGCCGTACTACCCTGGAATATAATTGGGACGGCTGCACACTGCTCCAGATCCGTCCCAGTCCTTTCCAGCCCAGGGACGGATCCGTCCTTGGCCGTTCCTAAGCCTGCCGGCCCAAGGATAGGGACGGACTCTGGTCCGTCCCCGTTCTTAATCCATCCCCATTCCTGGACAGCCCACCTCTGGGTGGATTCGGCCTAGCACAAGCCCATACGGAGTGCTAGTATTGTTTATTCCAAAGAAGGATGGAAATGGTGGCTCTGCATTGACTACAAAGCTTTGAATAAAATCACTATTAAGAATCGGCACCCTCTCCTAAAGGTGGAAGAACTTATGAACAATCTCCACGGAGCATAGCATTTCACAAAAATTAACTTGGGATATCATCAAATATGGGTCAAAGAGGACGACGTTTAAAAGGACTTGTGTGCCATATCATCACTATATTATCCATCACACTGAGGCCTCGTCTGCCTTGAAGGTGGTGCCTTCTCTATTTTGGTTCCAGAGGCTCATGTCTGCGATTGGGGTTAGTGGGCTCTCAACTCTGATGTTGTTTGGGCCTATGTTGACTTGCAAGTCACTCGTTTGGGCCTATATGGACTTGCAATGGCAGCGCCGCCCCACATCCTATGATTTCTGATTGCTTGGCTAGATGGTGTTTTGGGCGGATTCCCTATGTTGGAAAATCTACAAGATCTTCAGTGAGACATCTCATACTACCCCTGCTGGGCCCTCATGATCTTTATCTTTCCTCCCATCTTGGGTGTTTTCTGCCCCCCATTCTGGTTCTTCCCTAGCCCCTCATGGGTACCGGATAGTTAAGGATTTGGCAAAACTCTCCTTGGGGTGAATGCACCCAAAAGATGATTTAGTTGTGGGATATTTTGGATGTTGGATTATAATATATGTGGATGTGTGGACATGGTTTTTTGATATCTGTAACATATTCGACGAGTTGGTAAAAGTGACTATAATTGTTTTTGCTAACTTATGGCCTGGGTGGGCAGAATTGCAGGGCTGAACATAAATATTGGTTACGCATAGTACGCAAGGTTATGGTAGGCTTGGAATTAGGGTGGGAGAATTTGATTGACTCAAGGGTGAGTTTGTTGACGTTGTGTTCTAGTCTTGGCGAAGGGACACACAGGTTGTGGCGCCAAGGATCCTTGGGGCCTTAAAATATGATAGAACGACTTTCCATAGCTCCGAATGAGCTGCAAGCGGCGGCACCACCTTAAGGAGCTATCAAGAGCCATACTATACTTTTTTTTTCTCTCCCTCCCACCCACCGCCGTGCTTTGGACGCTATGATGGGATATTTAATATGTTTCTTGCTCTTTGTGTTATCTGGGACCGAAAAAGGCAAAACTCACCTTAGGGTGAATGCACCCAAAGATGAATATTAACTGTGGGATATTCTGGACATTAAAATCTGGTATGTGTGGATGTGTGGACATGGGTTTTCCATATCTGTCGCATGTGCAACGATTTGGGAAAAGTGGTTGTAAATGCTTTTTGTAGCATGTGCCCTGGGTGGGTAGAATTGCATGCTAAATGCAAGCCACACTTCCTCCGTGCCACTGGTGCATCAAACTGCCGCCAAAAACCAGACTTACATATGCCCCAAATGACATGCCGCTCCATCACCCCCAGGCTGCCATGATGGCCCTGGGTGCCATCCTTAGTAATGCACCAGAACACATCGCTTATTACAAGCCCCATTCCTTGCCGCCTGGGGACAAATTGTGAAAGCCATCATTCGGTGACCAAGACACAAATGTGGCTAGCAAATGTTGGTCATGCTATGGGAAATCGAACAAGGCCTTACGGGACACTTGCAACACTGACCACCCAGGAATCAATATAATCAGCTTAGAATCTTGCAGGAAATTATGGTCTCTCTTACTTTTAAGACCTGCAGTTGATTGCTTGAAGAAGTTGTTTTGATTAAAGTTGCTTGCTCTTTAAAGAGCTCCAAATAGCAAGCAGCTTGAATCAAAACAACTTCTTAAGCAGTCAGCTCCAGGTCCTTATGAACCTAGTCAGGAGCAGCTTATATAAGTCGAAACTGATTAGGTTGATACAAATCATCAATTCAACTTTGGCCCGTCAATGTTACAATGGTGTTGAATGGCTGGGCGGTGAAGCGAAAGTGACAATGTTTTGATGCAACGCCCTCCTGTATATCCTGGGAACCATGGTGGAGATTCTGCTGCATTCCTCCACCTGTCTTTCATTTCTTGCAAACAAATTTGTACATTGGATAGGGAACAATAGCAACAAAGGAGAAACAATGTGTATACAAGGCCGCAAAATCTCACCCACACAGCAATGGCTTCATCGCCTTTCTGTTGGGGGTTTTGTTTGGAATGAGTGTGTCTTTGGGATCCATCTATGTTAGCGTTGCAAGGGATCGAAGTTTTTTCACAGATCGGATTCATGTACAATGTTGTTTCCCAGCTGCCATCGTCAGACTCATCTGGATTTCTATCTAACTTGCTAGTTGGGTTAGTTCAATACAATTATTACAAAGTGACGCTCGTTCAACTTTCTACTATACCCCACAAGGGAATTTTGGCGGATGCCAGAATTCTAGCTTCGAGTGCTCGTTTGTTTTCGAACACGAAAATTCCTATTGGTTGCGCACCATTGCTCTGAAACCAAAGTGTGACACCAAACAATCTGGTTTGGCATTCAATCACTAAACCCGTTGTGTACTTATTCACCTTACAGCAGCACTAAACTGAAGTGCTACAATGCTAAAGCACTATACTAAAGCGCTACAACTGTCCATCGTCCGCTGTGATAAATCGTTGTTTATTACATAATTCTTCCCATATTGTCCCAACTTTTCTGTAATACTGTAACAATACATGATGGCTGTAGTCTGTGCTCATTCCCTCGTATGCCTATTGGTGTACCACATCATATCTAATTCAACATGCAAAGCTGCCAGTTGCATTCACAGTCAGATTTCGCCTTTCCCAAGCGCTGATTCCAAGCCAAGTCTGAGTTCAGAATATATTCACCTCTCAAAATTGTAGCTGCATCACAACTTCGGTATGGTTGTGCAGCTTCCGCTCGTCTGGGATATGAAACTGCCGGAAGCGCGCAACCTTGGGAAGGCGACCAACACACAGAACTACGATTCTCCCCTCTCCCCTGCTGTGTAGCTGCCTCCATCGCATTCGCCTCTGTGACAGCCATCCGCGGATTGCTGTGCGCCGCCGCTGATATCTGTCGTGCCTCCGCTGCCCAGGACACAACAGCTCCCACCCGAGGGATACCCCCGGCCACGCTTTTGTTGCGACACGAGTTGGAGCCGCAGGCCTGTAGGTGTTGTGTGAGCCCCGTCGTCTGGCTCACGGGTGGCTTGTCAAACCCCGAGGCCCGCCAGCTGCATGTTTACGTGAGGCGAATGTGGAACCTGCTGTGTTCGTCGCGTCTCGGTGGTCGGATGGCTCGCAGGGGCCGCCCCCCAGGCGGACGTGGCAGTGACCCAGGAGGTCATCTGGCCTGCCCTATCCACCCAATCCTGTGTACATGACAGTGGGTGCTTCGACGCATTTGCGACCTTGGCGTGCGCAGGGGAGTTTGAAGGCCTCCGGCGGCGACAGCGCTGTCTCATTGGGCCAGGGCCGCGGCTGCCAGGCTTGCAGACGGGCCCTCCTGCAGACAAGCGCGCCGCCGCGCGGCCCGCACCTCGACTTCACCCTTTTCGCGCACGGTGACGAGTCCTGGGTTCTGGGAGTGACCGAACCATCTGTACTTAATTCAGTAGTGAGGGTGAGTACGGGGCGTGGGCGTTTCCCTTTCGCGTTGCGGGGATCGGGCGGTTGCGGCCTGCGGCGGTGGACGCCCAGGGGAATCGCCTTGAGGTTGGCGGCGGTGGCGCGCATGGTGACACGGAACCGACGTGTGTCTTCGTCCGCCCGTTCGTGTGCTCGTTGAATCCTCTTTCCTCGTTGGTTTCGTTCACTTCGGTGAGGTGGGACTTGCGCTGGTTTAACGTTCTGCCGTGGTCGGGTGCGGTGTTGTTATGGCCGTGCTCTCTTTCAGTCATCGGATGGGGGGACGCTGTAGTTGGAGCCGCGTGCACGAGCTTCCACCCACTCACTTTGTGTGCGGAAATTTCGTGCACATTGGCTGCGGCTCACGGGGAGCCTTTGGCTGTCGAAGCGAAGCAAGCATCAGGGTCGCGCTCCGGGCCGGTTGCTCCTTCCCGCTGGCTCGTTGGAGATGCGGCCCCTTCGCTGCCGTGGGAGGCGCCGGTCAGGTCATGCGTTTAGCGGCTCCTGTAGTTGCTGGTTGGGGCGGCCACCAGTTTCGTCAGTCGGCTGAGTCGGGTCAGTACGGCCGACCGGTCTCCCCTTCGCTGTGATTATTGCAGGGAAGGGCGCCTTTGAGATTGCCATCCTGTTGGCGGGCCCACTTGCGCGACACTGTTCTCCTTTGAGCCGAGCGCAACGTGTTCCAAGCAGTCGCGTGCATCGACGCTCGACGACCCTCACGCGCTTCCCGCATGACTAACTGGATCAGCACGCCGCCCGCGGGGCTTGACGATGCGGAACCCCGACATTTACGGAGCCTGTCCGCCTTTCCGGTTGAGCTATCGCCCGTCTTGTGCAGGTGCGCACAGCAATCAGCCATGGAGGGGTCGCCCGGAGGCCCGAAACAGAACAATAGTCTCAACCCGACTTCGAACTCCCAAGTTATGTCGTCCCAGGCGGCGAGGCCGTCCATTCGTGGCCCCCCGGCCGGTGGCAGGGCCCACGACAGTAACGGCTCTCGACCGGTGCCGGCTGGTACTGGACACGCGGTGGCACGCCATCAACCGCCGCCCGGCCTGTTGCTGCAGAGTTCGGGAGGGCGGGGGCGCGGCGGTCAGGTCGGCGCACCCAATAACATGACGCCGGCGGCATTGTTTGCCAACCTGCTGGCTGCGCACAATGTCGGCCACGGCCACGGTCAGGGGCTCAGCGTCGCGGGCGTCGGCGCGAAGCCCAATTTCCCGCCGGAGCTCCTGAAATCAATATCAGTAGCCGCACACGGGCTCCCCGGCGTGCACACTTCGAAGCAGATGTCGAGGCCACAGACCGCTCTGCCGGAAGGAAGGTACCAGAGGACCGTGGCTGTGGCGGTGAGCGAGGGGGTTCAGGGGAGTGGGAATGGGCCGCCCCTGGTCGTCCAGTCCAAGGCCCCTGGCCAGGCTCCCAGGTCCAGGTCTGGCCCGAAGGTTGACCAGAAGAACATGCCATCCCAGCTGGCCAGCAGGGTGCGGCAGCTGGGACTCCAGGGCGGCCTGCAAAGTGGCAGGACACTCCAAGTACAGGGTGTGAACAGTGGGCAGAGTGGCAACATTGTGATAGCCCCGTCGGCCCCCGCCAGTCACAGCGGCCAGAGGGAGGGCTTCCCCCTGCCGCAGGACACAGGCCGACAGACCTTGGCCTCTGCAAATAGTCTTGCCAGGACTTTGGGGCCCCTGATGCAGCAGCAGGACAGACCAAACCAGAGGACCCATGGCGTGCATGTGGGCTCGACCATGAGCACACCCCCAGCAAAGGCCCCACAGCAACGGGCTAATGTGACCAGCGCTTCACGGGTACCCACGAGCGTGGCACTGAATCTTGCCCCCATGATGCTGAAAGGCACAAGCAGCAGCGCCAACCTGCCAGGCAACTTGACGCTTGTGCCATCGTTCCTGGTTCAGATGCCTGGTGGCCAGTTCCGCCTGGTCAACTCCTCACCCTTCTTGGGCCTCAGGGAGGAGGGGCAGGGAGCCCCAAGCGATGGCACGTCAAACGTTGGTGACAAAGGGAAGCAGAGTCCTGCCATGCCGGCCACCATCCAGCCAATGTCACGGCCTGAAGCAAAGAGCAGCAAAGCAATCTCTTCCCCTACAGCTGTCCAGCTGAGCATGTCAAGACCTTTCGGAAGGACTGTACCAATGGAGAGGCCCCAAAGACTGCCCAACGTAATTACAACCATCCCACAGGAGGCTAAGGCCCAACAGCCGTTCCATTTTTCAGCAGCAAGCTTGGGCATGATGAAGTCAGATGCAGGCACCCCAAGGGCACGATTCCCTCAGAGTTACAGGGTCAAGGAGCCAGCTCTGTTGCGGAGGAGGACACAACAGGAGGAAGAGCAGCATGGACTGGCAGCAGTGGCATCACCAGTTACGCTGAGCGGAACAAGCATGAATGACCGTGACCAACAACTGGTGCATGGCCATAATTCGGAAGGGAACGTGTCTGACAAGGAGGACAAGGACATGATATCAGTGGCGGAAAGCCTGAAAGACCTGTCCAGCATGGAGATGCGTCAAGCGTCAGACAGCCCCCCTCAGCAGGCAACAGGCACACCAGAAAGGGAGGCTGCTCACGACGTGGACAGCACGAGTTTCAGCCACAAAGATAGGACTGGGGAAGCCAGCGACAGATCTGGTACTGGTACCGATGCGTTTTCTGGTTTGGATGTTCTTATTGATGCTGCAACAAAGACAGAGGGGGAATTCTTTCGCAGCCTTTCAAAGCCATCTGCCAGGTAAAGTTTGTTATCTGCTGGAGCTGCTTGCAGTTGCTGCTACATTTAAACAGGTTTGCATTGGTTGTGTAGTGTGGCAGCACTTGGCATCAGTTGCAATTTGACGCAAGTGAAAGTGTGGTGGCACCTTGCTTTGTTGATCGGTCAATAAGTAAGTGTGACAGCTCGTAGACCTGCTCTGTGTTTGTGCTGTTGTTCCACCCCTGTTCTTGCAGCTTTGTGCATGTGCTGATGCTTGTTGCAACCTTGGTTTGTGCAGCCGTGGAATTTCGAAGCGTCGCCGTGGGATTCATGGCCCAATACATATCTCTAGAAGCTCCACTCCAGTTGCTGACAGCATCCCCAGTGCTTTCAGGCTGCACCATCGATACATGGGCATCAGCATAGTATTGCGCAGTGGAAAGTATGTGGCACGCTGCCGGCACAAGGGCGAGGCAATAGAGATAGGCCAGTTTGATTCTGCCGAGAGTGCAGCAAAGGCTTACGATCGCACGATCCTGGGTCTGAGAGGTTGGGATGCCCGCACTAACTTTCCCAAGGAGGACTACATGAAGTTTGAGGTGGAGAACACTGCACGTGCATTCAAGACTAAAGAGAGCCAGAGGAGCAGGGTGGGAGGGCGCCGGAGGAGGGAGTCATGGTCGCCATGGGCAAGGGCAGCACAGACTCTCCTGGGTCCAGAGCGCTCAGATGCAAGCACGTGTGCGCCCAGGTCATTGAAGCTTGGGGAAGCCATGCCAGAAGCACGAACAGCACAAGTGCAGCGCATGATGACGGTGCTCAGCCAACTGAGAATGCAGAACCCCGTCGTGTTTGACGAGGCCCTGGCCAAAGTGCAGAGCGCAGCTTTCAGTGGAGATTCCAGCGCTGTGCCAGCCGATGCACCCAACGGCCAACCCCTCCCACTGCTGCAGGACATCGATCAGCCAACCCAGAACATTGAGGAGACCCTGAAGGCGGTCCTGACCCGTGTCGAGGTGCTGCAGAAATTGGTGGCTTCTGGGAACGGGTCTCAGGAAGATAGGATGTCACTGGAGCAGCACAGGTATGCCGCAGAGGTGCTGCAGAACATTCTGAACGCCAAGACAACGAGGCAGGGGAATTGCGCCCAGACATCGACGCCCGGGGCGCTGGGCAGACCGATGCACATAAAGAGCGATCCGGACACTTACTCTGCCGCCTCCGACCGAGGTGGGGAGCCGAGCTGGATAGCCCAGCCAGGGGTCAGCCACGGGCAGTGGAGGAAGGGCGGTAGCCAAGCTTTTGGTTTCGACCGCGATGGTGGCGACGCACGGGTCTCCGGCCCATCGAGGTTCGCCGCCCCAGGGGCGCGTTGCGCGAATGAGGTCGGCCATACGGGCGCGGGGTTCGGTCTGCTGCCTTTCCAGCCGACGCGCCTGGCGGGCAGGAAGAGCTGCCATCCGTCGGACGCGCCGGGCCGAGCGTCCGGCGCCGCCAGGCCGCTCGGCGGACTCGAGAAGCTGGGCGACCTGTCCGGCAAGGTGCAGACCATCCTGTCCGGCGGCTCCCTGCGCCGGCTGGGCCTGGACAACGGCAGGTGCCCGCTGTCGCCCAAGGTGCCGTCCCGCCGGCCGCTGGCCGTGGCGCGGAGGTCCGCCCGGAACTGCCCGCGACGGGACACGGACATCTGGGTGATGCCCTCTCTGCGCGGCAGGGGTGCGCGGCGGCCAACGGGATCGGGCCTAGGCCGGTCCACCTTTATTGACCCGGACGCGGACGACGCCGAGGAAGAGCTGGACGACCGCGCTCGTCGCGGACGAACAGTGTATCGATACGGGCGACGGACCGTGCCCAGGCGGACCGTGGGGACGGGCCGTGGGCGCGGGAGGGGGTACCGGGGTCGAGGGCGGGGCCGCGGGGCCCGCCGCGGCACCGGCAGGGGCCGCCAGAGGAGAGCAGTGGCGATCGGTAGTTGGGAGACGCCGCCGGTGGGCGGCCAGGGGAAGAATGGGGAAATTTGCGAACTCGTTGGCGCCCGTGAGAGCGACGTGGTGATTGAGGAGGTGGCGGAGGCGCTGGCGTTCATGAGGGAGGAGGGTGGGCAGGGGTCTCGGGACCACGGCGGCGAGACGCGACCGTCAAAAGAGTCGTCGAACGGGCGGCGCGAGGAAGGGGCGGTGGGTGACGTGAGGGTGGAAGCTGCGCGGCAGGTGTGCGTGGAGGAGGGAGGTGCCACTGGCGGGGAGGGGGGAGAGGAGGAAGAGTGGGAAGAGTCGGAAAGCCTGGCGCCGCCCGCGGCCGGCCAGCCCGGGGTCATCGGGAACGAGGAGCTGAAGCGCTACAGGGAGAGCTTGGGATGGGGGAAGCTGCTGGCGTGCTCGCTGTGGCCCAAGAAGCGTGGCGGGGGCATGCTGGCCAAGTCGTTCGACGGCAATTACAAGGGGCACGGCCACAGGGTGATGCTGTTGGACGTGAGGGACGAACTTTTCAAGGGCGTCGGCAGGGGCGGTGGGGATGACCCGATCAGTCAGCAGGCGGGCCTGTGATTGAAGGGGGATGCCGGCCAAGTTGTAATTCTGATGAGGCACGGGTGCTTGCTTTTTGATCCGTGTGGTTCCGATTGCTCCAGTGGCTTGAGGCGTGGTGGGGTTGGGATGCCAATGAATGGGATCAAGTCGGGCAGCTCGTGATTCAGTCGCGGCGATGGGGGGTGGCCTTCGGGTGGGAATGCTTTGGGGTGCAGTGTTACTTCTGGAAGGTGGCTTGTTCGGGCAGGATATGTAACAGCAGACTATTAACTCGTACCCTGCTGGCAGTGCTGATTTGCGTCAGCTTTCGCCCGACCGTTCGAGTATAGAAGAAAGTGTACAACAGCACCCCTTCGTGAATTATCAGCTTGTATATGCGCAGTCTCTCCAAGGGTGCATTGTTACACTTTGATACTTCATTTCTGCTTTGCGGGATCCTCTTTTCACCCGACACGCACACTGGCCGAGTGTATTGAAAGCAGTATCCTCAGTGTTCCACCTTACAAATGCCCATGACCGTCACACACAACATACACTTAGATTCGCAGTGCAAACCAAGGAGTAATAAAACCAAGTAAATGGTAATGTACCAGAAAAAACAACCCGAAACTAACCTCATCCACATGGGTGGGTCATCATCGAAATCCGTGGATTACATTTGTCACAAAATGACAAAACACAGCCCGTGCACCTTATAGGCGATGATGGGCGTGGAAACCAAGCAGATAATATGTTCAGAATCGATTATTCCACATCGCCACTCCCTATTGTCCCATGAAATGCAGTGAGCAGGCACGAGTAATAAAACCCCTGTGGATTATGTTCAGTGTACGTAGCGAAGAGAAATCAGTCCCAACCTTCATGCTCCATGTCCCACGCGAGCCCAAGCGCATCGTACGTATGTTAGAAAGCGCATCAAGATTCCAAGGCCTTGTGGCACTAGTGCAGAAATGTCCCACGGAATTGTTGCATCTACCAAACGCCTCGCAGATTCATGGCATGCGAAACGGGCATTTGAAAAGGTTGGACAATCCAGGAAAATATGTGCACAATCCTCCCACCAAAATCCACACATACGGCAAGCTGGCGAATTAAAGAGCTGGCAGCGAAAAAGAAAAAATCGACATGGAAAAGCATCAGCCAAAAATTGACATAGAAAGGCGACTTCTGCTCGTGAGAAGGGCTTTGCCCAATCAAGAGAAAGTGTGAATATCCAATTCACAGCCAAGGCAGAATGCAGCGCTGCTGTCCGCTGCCAATCATGATTAGCCCGTGCATTGTAGTATTTGGTCACGCGCCACTTGATAGCTTGGGCACAATGGGTCATCCTCGGAGCTCGAGCGCCTGAAGCTCCCACCCCAGCACTGGCTATAGTCGCAAGGCCATCTACTGCTTCGTTTTGCACCACGTCGGCATGGCCGGGCACCCACTGTAAACAGACACGGCACCCAGCTGCAATGATCTCTAGAAGGAGGCGCCGTGCCTCCGCCACTGTCGTTGTGCAGTTCCTCCCACCAACCAACGCCAAAATGGCTGCCTGTGAGTCTGTGACAAAACGAGCCTCCACCACTGCTCTCCAGCTCCTGATCAGAATACCACCCAACTCAGCGCCCAGGCGGATCAACTCCAACTCTAACCCAGTGCTAGAGTGTAATTCTACTGATCCACGGGAGACGCCGAAGAAAGCATCCTGGTTTCCAAAAGTCCACAGAGCTGCAGCCCCAGCACAATAATCCTTCACTGAGCCATCAGAAAACGCCCACGGCACTTCGTCCTGGGCAATGCCACATTCATGGTGCAACACAGTGGCTGCAGCCTCCTTTGTAGGTGGCATGATAATATCCACCGGCAGCCTCTCCGCCCATGGCTCGAATGGCCATAAGCAAAGCCGCTCAATCGCTGGTGTTTCATCCAAAACGTCCTTAGGGAGAGCGCCCTCCCTGGCCATGTGCCCAAGCTCGGAAACAAGCAAGTCCCATGGAGAGAAATTGGTTGCCACGAACCACCCCTCTGGGGCCCATGGGCCCTGCCGCAGATCCAACCCACAAGTCATGCATATCCAAAAACAAACAAGTAGTCTCCTCACCTCCTCCCGTGGGTGCCGTTGCCCTACCAGCAACCTTGCTGCATCTGTCTGGGTTGGCTTGAGGAGGCCGCAAGCTAGGCGCCCTGCCACAACCACCGTCCTTGCAATGGCCGGCATGCGGGCACCAATGGAGGAGGCAATTGCCCAGGCAGGTGCCGCATAGTATAGAGCGGGGAGGGCAGCCCCTGTCGCCAAGAAGCAGATAACATGTGGGTGGGCCCCCCAGTATATACCACAATGGCGCTGAATAAGCCAGAGACTAGCCCGGCATCTGGTGCGCGCTTCAGTCACATGGTCTCTCCAATACAATTTGTTGTCAATTGTCACCCCAAGTAATCGCATGGTCATTTGAGGGGTGAGAATATGATGGCCCAACTTTGAAAACATAGATGTATGCAGATCCGGAGGTGGCAAAGGTGCAGTAACACATTCTTGGATGGGCTAAACTCCATACAAGACTATATTGTCCACTTGTACAGTCGATTCAATGTCACCTAGAGCCGCCAACAACCCCTACCCAACCTGTCCATCTCAAGCCAAATGATTAAATTATCAGCATAGCCCTGCACCTCCACCAGCCCCTCAACGGCTTTTATGACTGGGTCAACGAAAATAAGGAATAAAATTGGTGAGAGTGGTGGCCCTTGGGGCACACCAAATGCCAAATACCATATCATTGCACAATCACCCACACTGAAGTTAGCCCGGCGATCCCCAAGGAAACTTGTTGTCCATCGTGTGATATAATCTGGTACTCCAATCTTTTGCATTTGAAAAAGCAAATTGGTGCCCCAAACCCTATCATAAGCACCTTTCAAATCCAGAGAAATTGCACTAACTTGTCTACCTCGTTTGAAGACCATGGTGACATCCTCCACAAAGCGCCAAAGGGCAATTTCTGTACTGTTATATTTTCTAAAACCAAATTGGTTGGCTGGTAATTTTTTATGATGCTCAAGCCAATACCTTAGCCTTTTTGTCATCACATGTTCGACCAATTTCCCCATGACAGACAACAATGAAATGTGCCTAAAAAATCCAGGTAAGGTCAAGTCCTGGCCCACATTGGGAATTGCAATTGCGATCACCTTTTTCCATGACACCGGAAAATATTGTAATCTAAAGCTAGCCCTTGTAATCGTGGTCAGAATGGGCGTCATTATTGCGTCTGTTTGTCACAGTCACTTGTTAGTAATATCATCGAAAACTGTAGCTCCGGTGGCCTTAGTATGTAGAATTGCATTTTTGGCCTCATGATATGTAACGCACTCAAAGAAGCTTACATCTGTAGGATGCTGAGTCATCCAGTGCTGTATGAATTGCATCATTCTGTCCTATTGTTATATCCAAGGGTGATCAAGGGTGGTGGAAAATTGTTTGTTCAAGTTGGCTGCCTTGGCGAAGTCAGTGTTGACAAAATTACCATCACAATCATGAAGTTTTCTGATTTGATGTGTAGAGCCATGCCGGGCGATTTTTTGCAGCTTGTCCCAAGCATTCTGACTAGCAGTGCCCTCACAAAATTGGGTCCACATGTCCTTTTTGGCTTGTCTGATGGCATCCTTGAATGTCCGTCTAGCAGCCTTGTAAGCCAAATGATCCGCTTGATGGCATGTTTGTCGCCATTGAAAATATGTTTTGTTGCATGCCTTTCAAAGAATACCCAGCTCTGGGTGCCACCACGGCTTCGAGTACTGGCAGCTGTGTTTGGTCAGGATTGCTGCCTTGATTGCAATCCCTATGGAAGTGGTGACATCATCCACCAAACGGTCTAGGTCTTATGGGGTGGTGAGGATGGCAGTCCTGCAACCCCTATCCTCTAATTCCCATGCAAGGCATCGTCTAAATTGATGCCAATTGGCTTTCTTCCAATTGAGTGAGTGCATGGCAGAGTTTTGGTCCGGTTGGCAATTGAGCGATTAAAAGATGGGCTGATAGTCGGAGAAAAAGTGGCCTTTAAGAACTTGCCAATTAGTCACCAACTTGTTGATCCCTTGACTACCCACTATGATGTCAATCCAAGTGTCATGGCCATAAGTGGGGCGAAAAGTCGGTTCAGCCCCATCTTCATTCAGAATAACATAATTGTGCTCCAAACAAAATTCTTCAAGTAAGTGTCCTTGGGAATTTGTCAGAACATTGCTCGGTCCCCAGGCGGGCGAGTGGCCATTGCCATCAGCACCGATCAGAATGAATGGGGTGACCTCTAGAGGTGGCCATCTCTGTCCATCCACAACAGAATTTGGTTGGCTCTGTAAAAATTCCGTACAGTCAACAGAATTTGTGAGCGGGTCACAGAGAGAAAAAGTGTTTTACAGAAATGGGCGGGGCTATGCTGATGTCAGCATAAACGGGTACAAAGATCAACACAGCCTTCCAGAATGGAACCACGGGTTACAGAATTTGCGCCGCAGCCGACGGATGACAGGCTCCTATAATGGAACCGTTGACCGAACCACAGAGGTCGACAGAATTCCATCAAAGTTCACGGAGCAAGTACGGACACGTGTACTAAGTATAAAGTACAATGTGCTTTGGCAAAGGTGATGGATAACCGCTGCAGAGCGGGTCCCACTCCCAGACTAGACGGCCAGACGCCTTGTTTATAGTAGGTTGTATTAATAAATGTAGTCTAGCATTGGCAAGGGATGGCCGGGAAAGAACAGCGGGTTGCGTAACTGGTCTAGCAAGGAGTACCGGCCGAGGCAGCATTTATGATGGTATAGACTGCAAATAGGTAGACATGCGTTGTTTATACATGTATTAATATTGCACCTCGTTATATCACTGTTGTGGCCCGTATATAGAGGCAAAGGTTGTTGGACACAGAGAAAAAATCCGCTTGGAAAAAATTGCCTCCAACAGAAACTGCCGCTGACCAACAGAACACTACCGGAATCTCCAAGTTCCTAACGGATAGCAACGGAACGCA